ATACCGATGGGTTGTTCTTGTTGTTGCTTGCAATGATTTTAGTTTCATTATCACTTTTTAAGACCACGTCAAATATTGTTCTATTTATTTTTCGTCTAAGAGTTTTTGTTCTAACATTCCCTATGCATGCTTGAATAACCTAACAACATGAAAAGAGTTTGTGTCTAAGAAGTATTTTGACAAACTGAATTTTTAATACTTTATTTTAGAAAAGGAACAGTTTCAGGGAACAGTAATTCTTTCTACGAAAGAAATGTGGAATAAAAAAGGACGAAAAGTCGGGTGGGCTCGGCTTGGAGGTTCTATCTAAAGCCTTAAATTTCAAGCAAAAAAAAGAGAAAAAGCTGCTTCCAACTGGCTTAAGTTCCGCAAAAAAAGTTAGCTGTTCTAGCCAACGTGTCGAATATGAGCAGAGCTCAGCAGCTGTTCAGTGTTGTTCCGAGTTTCTTGTGCTGTTTGGCTGGCCATCGAGCGCTCGTCATTCTTTGTAGTGTTACAGCATGAGAAAAAATCCCATCATCATTTTTTAACCAGGTTTTCTTCCTAAAATCCTGCTAAATAAAACCAATGACTGAGATTTTCTTCTGATTAAGCAACTAAATGGTGTTTGTTGGTAGATTGGCCAAATAATGCATGTTTAATACAAACGTAGTGAAATGATGATAGCTGCTTTACAAAGTATAAAAAATTTCACTATTTCTAGCCATCGCGAGGATGTAACTTTTGCTATCCCTTAACCGAAAAACGTTTCCAAGATTTTCTTCCATAGGAAAAGGAAACTACTGCTATTGTTATGGTATAAATTCCCGTTATGTACATCAGAATAAGTTCCGATTCGTTGCTCTTCGTTATCGAGATGATAGGTCCGAAGCTGTTTCTAGGATTTTGCCCAGTTTGTTCGTTGTTTTTTGATGCTGTATCGTCCCACTGTTTAAAAATTTTCACATGCCGTCGTACTTTTAGACAACTCTGTCTCCATGACCTACCGTAATCCTTTTTAAAAAGGTTGTTACTTCAACGAAATACACTGATCAGTTAAAACAATGAGTTTGTATTTTCCTTTTTCTTTCTTGAAGTATTTAAACCATCAAGTCCTACCTTCCTTAATTCTTTCTCGATTTTTCGTACTCGTTTCCTTTTTTGTTATCATGACGTCATGTCCATAATAGCTAATATTCTTCTAAGTGAGCCTACCGTCTCCTTAGTGGTGCTGAAGTTCGTAGTAACTAAACAAATATTTCTGATCTTCAATGAGTATAACCTGAGGTGAGGAAGTTTCCATTTTGTATGGTTTCAACAATGATTAGTTCTTGATGAAGAGCACCACTTAAAAACGCTTGGTGGTTTGATGCAGAGCGGAGCGGGGAAATCGCCATGAAATTTCTATGACCTGATTGCATAAACCTTTTTTGAGCATCTAAGTTAGAAGAGAAAGCTTAGTTCTTCATGAATTGCTGCCAAGCTATTCAAAAGATGCGAATTCTCTAACGAGCAGAGGGAATCGTAAGAGACTCAGTTTCGTGACCAGTTGTTCAGAAGTTCACACGATCCATCACAGATTCACCTAAGGATTGTACACTCGAGTATTTAAATGCCGTGGGATTGTGCCGAGGTGTGTTAGTCATGGAAACATTTCCAGTTTACCAAGTGTTTTACTTGTTCAAATAGTTCGTTTTTTCGCTCTAGGTTCGGAGACAAATGTACAGGAATGTTTCCAGGTCCCCATCACAGGCATTTGACAACTCACGTGGTTCGTGGAGAGGTTTGCCCTCTTCCAAGGAGCTTTGTTTCAGGCCAGAGCTGGTTTTTGGCCCGAATCCATTTATATTTAGCGTTTCGGTGTTGATGGACTCTCTTCTCTATAGCGTAAGTTCAGCGTGCAGAAACACCATCTAGCCACCGGGAAGCGATTAGCCGTTAAATGGAGTCTTGAAGAATGTGTGTGTAATCAGCAGTTTCGCACAAGGGTTTTCCGTTGTAGGTTTCAAAATTTCATTTGTCCGATGAATAAAAAGTGGACAAGAAGAAGTAGAGGCACTACCACTACCACCGTTCTTCCAAATGTTCTTTAGACAACAAGACCACAACAATGAAAGTAACAGGAAATTTTTTATATTTATGGGCAAAACTTTCAAAGTCTCGTATTCAAAGCTCTCTGCAGAAAACTGGAGAACGAATAGGCCAAAGCGGCAAAAGCGGCTGGTTTAAAACCGTTAGTTATTTCTCAATTCGAAGTTGGATTACCAACATATCCGGTCCTACTCAGTTGTTGAAACACATTCCAACCAATCGTAAGAACACTCAGATATTTCTGGATCGTTTAACGTGCGTCCTAGCAGAGCGTACAAAGTGGTGCCCTTCGAAGTTACCATCGTTCACACAAGCGCGTCGAATGACTCCGCTAACATAGTAAACATGAATGGCTTCTCGTATCAGCAGTTCATGTCCGAATTCGAGTACGGTGTACTTAGTCTTTTGTAAAGTGAGTGGACGAATAAATTGGTGAAACGAGTAGACCACTATGCGTCCGTATAAAAGAACCCCTAGTCAGTGAACTTAAAGTGAAACCAAATACCCCACTACGCGTGCATAGGACGCAGACATGTAGTGAAGAAGATTTTGAAGTAGAAGTTACCACAACTTTAGCGTGCGAAACTCTCGAAACATCCTGGATAAATTCCAGGAATCTAAAAATGAGTCGCAGGGAGGAATGGAATGAGCGTTGTTGCTACACCAAATTCTCGAATACAATATTTAAGACTGTTTTCTTGATGTGGCAGAGGTACATTACCCATCTATATCAACTCTGTGCGGTAGGTGTCTACTTGAAATATTCAGTGGCATTCACATTGCTGACTTTTTATTTACTGCCTTTTACAAGTTTTCAAGGCAGGGTATTATTTGTGAAGCAACCACAGTGATGCTGACATATTTGCAAAACTCCGGACCAGCTGCCTGCGGTGGGGAACGAACGCGATTTGGGCTCCCCAGATCAATCCCGTTGACAGTTGATTGCTGACGGAAGTGATCGATAGTACTAGCTGAGAGACATGCGAACGAAGGACCCACATGGTGTTGTGATGAACGCATTAGCCCCCGGAAAAGGCAATAGCGCGATCGTTCCCCACCGCAAAGACCTGTGGTCCATAGTTTTGCAAATATTTCAGCATCATTTTGGTTTATTCAATGGAAGTCTCACAGAATGCGGTGATTGTGCGAAGAAGCTATTTTTTCCATGCGATTGAAATCTTGGTTTCGCGGTTTTTTCTGTTTTAATTATGGAGTTGTTCGGCTCAATGAAGAAAGCGAAATTTGCCGAAACGTCAGCATACTAGTAAATAAAAACTGGAGTACAGACATCGTGGTTGATCATCAAGAGAAGAGTGAATCATTTGTTTTTCTGCAAAATTCCGCAAGATCTGATTCCTTTCGCTTTTGTTCCACATTTTCTATAGTCGCTGTCATGCATTTCATGTTGTAAAGTTTTTAGTTATGAATTATGGTAGCGATGGAGACGTTGTTTCATATCACAAAAAGGCTCAGGAGTGAATTTGAAACCGACCATCATTTAACCTGAGTAGTAATAATCAATACCTTCTTTAATTGTTAAGCTGACACGTTCGACCGTCGACCAGTCCACCCACTAGTGGGGCATCGACACGGATAAGCGGCTCTGATGAAAACGTAAACGTGGAGACGTCAGCCAAATAGGTTTTTTTTTATCAATCTCTTGCCCGCTTAACAATCCAAGAAGGTCTTAATTTAAGAATGAAGTTCAGCGCAGTGGTAGTGATTCGCCTTGTTACCCGGACGGCCCAACCAACCTATGCGCTAGCTCAATAACGCTCTATGCTCGCACGACCTGTCATCTTCCTAGGGTCAAGAAATTGGTAACGGGCTTGCCTAGAACAAGTCCACCTTTTCCAGTCAACTTGGGGAAGCCTCAGTACGGCTATTTCGGAATTCCAGAGGGAATCAACTGAACCAGCATTCAACGACATTCGTGACGAAGACGAAAAATCCTCTATCAGCAGCCGAACCGATACGCAATAAAAAGTCGAAGGCGTTCGTACATATGAGACGTATAGGAGTGCAAATCGAGTGCAAGACACGTTGAGATGCGCACATTTTTATACATGTGATATCATGTTTTGTAATAAATAGATAGAGAAGGTTCAAGAGGATCTTTTGTTACAATAAATCTTAGAAGATGTTGATGATGGACATGTGTAAAATAATGTCTCTTTTTTATAACATATCGTAAAAGTAATATTTTTAGTCTCGTGATTCCGCATCCGTAACATTCAAGCTCTCTGAATTTATCTATAATCTGGGAGTTATGATGAAAAGTTTAGCCCAGAATATGGTACAAGTACAATTGAGTATTGCTTTTTTACATCATTTTCAGGTCTTTGTGATCATCGTAATTACCACTTGTGCCATCATTATTAGTTAAAACGAATTGTTATCATGTGTTTAATGCTTCAACGTCTTCGTCTTCATCAACTGTGGACGGAGCATCGACAAGGATCGTCGGCAAGGAAGACGTCGAAACAGCCGAATCTCGGTTAATCTCTTGTCAGCTCAACAACATAAATACATATTCATTGTTATAGTACCGAGGTAAATGACTGTCGATTTCAAATTAATTGTTATCAACTATTATCTACTATTTTGCGGTCATACTTTGTTTTACCTGGCCGTTTTTACATCTGCTATGCGGATGACAGCGCTGTCTTACATGTAATTCGCCCACTCGCCTCTTTCATATTACTATTTACTACTAGTTTCTACTGGTTATTATTACTGATACTTTTACTGGTATTATTATTTGTTATTAATTGTCATTTTTATTTTCATAGTCAAATGTAAGTTAGATGTGATATGTCTAGAATAATGTGGTGTTCACTCAAATTTCCTTGTGTTGACGCTGCGGCTTCCATTTTTGTGCTACATGGAGTTGATTTCCAAATTATGACTTTTGTTTCATAATACAGATAATGAGCAGAACTTCTTCAACCACATATGGTGTCGAGACAGATGCTATGACATTACAAAGGTATGTACTGCACGAACAACGGAAGCATCCAAGCGCTACCGGTGATCTCACGAATCTTCTTACGTCACTCATGACCGCTTTTAAGGTTAGCTCTACGACTAAAATTTCAAATGCAAGTCCTTCATTATACTAAGTGGAATCGGTTTTTTAGGAACTAAGCTTCGTAGAAAAGTTCTGGCCCAATAACACACGTCTGTAGTATTATCGGGCGACACTATAATTTCAGGCAATATCGAGCTCAGTACGACAGGCTGGTCTGGCTCATCTCTACGGTATAGCTGGAAACACTAATGTTCAAGGAGAAGAAGTGCTGTCTTTTATACTAACTTTGAACACATGTTCAATTTTTTAAACAAAATAAATATAAATATTTAGCATGTGTTATTTAAAGGTGAAGAAGTTGGATGTTCTAAGCAATGAGCTCATGATTAACATGATCCGTTCATCGTACACCTGTTGCGCTATGGTATCTGAAGAGAACGAAAACGTACGGCAATATATGTTTCATGTCCTTCGTCAGAAATCCCACATTTTTCTTAGTTAGTGATTTACAATATTCTACGAAATGACTTGCTTTGCTAAAAAGCAATCCAACATAAATTACTTATTGCTATCTCTTCCTCAGTACTTCCAGTAATTGATTTCAATTTCAGTTCATAGAAATTGAATTATCAAAGAGAGGAAAATACATCGTTACATTCGATCCTCTAGATGGGTCGTCTAACATTGACTGTCTGGTGTCAATCGGTACGTGCTGGAAGTTTTCCAATATAAGAAAGAATTACCACTTTCAGCGAAGCATAAATAGCTTATTGCATTGCAGGAACAATTTTTGGTATCTGGCGAACACAAACAGACGAGCCAGTTAAGAAGGACGACTTACTGCAGCCTGGAAGGTGAAATCTACAATTATCCACTAATGCGGAAGAGTAAATATGGCATCTGTAGGTCTATTGTAGCGGCGGGTTACTGCCTATATGGTTCAGCGACAATGATAGTTCTCAGCACTGGACGTGGTGTAAATGGATTCATGCTTGATCCAGTATGTGGTATTATTATCGTATAAGACTTTCTCACCCAATTTTTCGATTTCAGAGCATTGGAGAGTTCATTCTTACTCATCCAAAGATGAGAATTCCTGAAAAAGGAAAAATTTACAGCGTGAATGAGGGATACGAGAGAGACTGGCCAAAAGCTGTCAAAGAATATGTGCACCACAAAAAGTATCCAAAGGTGAGATAACGCCTTCAAGAGTCATAAATTTCGTTCAAACTCTAGTGCTAGTGTTTGTAATCACTCGCCTGTTTCATTTCATCACTCGTCATGTTTCAGGAAGGCCAGAAATTGATTGCTCAACGATACGTTGGATCTATGGTTGCAGATGTTCATCGAACAATGCTCAATGGTGGAATCTTCCTCTATCCTCCAACAAGCGATGCACCTCGTGGAAAAGTAGCGTTAGCACGATCGGACAGTTACCACGCTGTCAATGATTTAAGTAACATACCAAAACTATTTGCAGTTACGGTACTTATATGAATGTGCGCCTATGGCATTTCTTGTGGAACAAGCAGGAGGTGTCGCAACAACGGGTAAGGTGAGAAAGTCAAATCGTCTTGCAATCGATAATGTTCCTTAATCCGTGAAGATATTCATAAAACGCCACCCGATTAGGTCATTTTCAAATTGCGTCGGCATTCTGGGAAATAGATATGGAATTGCACTTGCTATTGTATAATGAAAAATTTTATTAACCAATTGTAGGAGCTCGTCCTTGATGTTGTTCCTACGGACATTCATGACAGAAGTGTGATTTATTTGGGTAGCAAGTTCGAAGTCGAGGAGCTGCTTTCCTTCTTCGAGAAATATAAGGACGACTAGATATAGGTGCGGTACTCAAACATTTCTGTGCTAGGAAAATCAATACATACATTGTTGCACATATGTAGTTAGTAGCATTATATGGCTTCTACTGTGGTAGATAAAAACATGTGGATGGTTTACCCTCTTCGTTTCACAGTGGCTGAGACATTCACAAATTAGGTGTGTAGTAACTACTCCCGAATAACCATAGTGGTGCTGAGATATATGCAGAACTCTGGACCGCTGGTGCCTGAGGTGAGGAATGAACACGCTATTAGCCTCTCCGGCTGCCGACACGTTCAACACCACACCATGCGAGCCCTTCGTTTCACCCGCCTATCGGCCGTCTTATTGAGCTATAGGTTGCTATAAGCATTCACCCATCAACGGGATTGATTTGGGGAGCACAAATCGCCATTGAACCCAGTCAGGCTGAAACTGTGGTATAAATCAAAATGTCGTCGCTTTTAATCCACTGCCCACTCTTTTTTAATGGCAGAGTATTATGCTGCAAAGTATAAACATAATGATTGTGATTTATGCCACAGCTTCACCTTATCTGGATTCAATGCCGATTTGTGCTCCCCAGATCAATCCCATTGATGGGTGAATGCTTATAGCAACCTGTAGTTCAATAAGACGGCCGATAGACAAGCGAAACGAAGGATTCGCTTGGTGTGGTGCTAAACATGTTAATTCCCGGAAAGATTAATAGCGTGCTCGTTCTCCACCGCAGACACCTGTGGTCCGGTGTTTTACAAATATCTCAGCATCCTTGTGGTTGTGTTTCGCATAATGCTCTGTCGTAAAAACTGTAGTAGGCAGGAAATAAAAAGTAAAATCATGATTGTATTCTACATAATACCCTACTATTAGAAAAGATTAGGAAGTAAATAGAAAGTGACGATATTTCTCGAAAGGCTCCAATTTTTTATATCGTAGTATGTTTCTTTTATTAACCGGTTACTGGTAATTATCCCAAATCCATCTTTGCACATTCTTCAAATTGTTTCTTTCCGACCATCTCGTGCACCTACCTCTCAGCTGGCTGGAAAGGAATTACACAACTTCTTTGTAGCAACTGTTCTTCTCCGCGGGCAATTTGGTTGCTGAAGAAGCGGCTGCCGGCTGGAGGTGCTCTCCATCATCTGCCGTTCCGTTCAACTTTTTTGTATAAGTTACTGCATTGCAGTCACATTTATTTTCTGTAAAAGCTATTGTATTGACTTTCTGTAAAAGCTATTGTATAGCCTTCACCAACATTCTGTGCAAGCAACTCTATCAGATTATACCGAATGAGAAACATTCTAGAATCTTCCTTTCAGCATTGTCTCCAGTTCTTTCTGTCAAACTCCGACCATTACAGAAGGAATATAAGCATTATTAGTCACTCCAGTTAGTGTTTCGCTTGTATTTCGTTCCATTTCGCTCAGTTCGTCCGCTCAGTTACTCCACTCAACTAGTGCTCTGTACTCAATTAGATATCGTCAGATTGTTTATATTGTACTGTTGTTATTGGTATAAACTATTATAATCCAAGTTTGAGGTTGTGTTCTGTAGCAATATTTAATAGTACCGCGTAGCAAATTCATACAAAGTCGAGTCGAGTGATTATTCTGTGACGGGAACTGATTCGAGGAGCTATATTCTATTAATTAACTAATACAAGGTGTAAGAAAGGTGCAGATTGCCAATTAATTTTCTTGTTATACTAGTAACGTAGGGCGCGTGTGGCGCAGTGGTAGGAGGTGTTCTGCAATGCACATGGGATCGATCCCTGCACCGCAGGCTCGCCAAGTCCTCCTCCGTCTGTGGTTAGCAAATTGGTACTAGACTTGTCTGAGAGGATAGCAGCAGTGGCTCGATACTTCGTTAGGCCACGACGAATCATTATAAAGGCCAAACATGCATTGAACGGCCTTCAACGATGGTTAATGAAGTCGAATGCATGGCGCATCCTTCAGGGATTGATCAACGCCGAGAGCTTTATCCTTTACCCTTTTATAAACTGTAAAATCTGCAGAGTTAGCTTTTGTCAGAGCTTGCAGAGCGCTGCAGAAAGGCGATAAGACGACATCTTAGAGAGGAAAAAGTGGTAGTGACACACACCTGAAGGCACGAAGGTCGTGAAGTGCAATTGACGCTGAAACTCTGCTAAATGGAAGACCGAGATGAAAGTACGCGTGAACTTAACGATTACGGCTTCTAGGAAGAAGATAAAGGAAATCGTCTTCGAGTCGCCTCACCGACTCTCTCTTCCCAAATTCTACACCCTGTTTTGTTGGCGATGAATCGAACAATAGCTGGCCCGGGCAGGAAAGAACCTGATCACCTGAGGAACCTATCACCAGTTCTCGACAACACAGCTGGTTCAACTCTTCATACGTTACCTACGCGATATCGGTGGCTGTTGCCCGATCTGGTTGCTGTCTGTCGTCTACAAACACTTCACTCGAGGAAGAGTAGTGAGAACACTCAACTCCGTGCTCACAGGATTGGCAGAGCACTGGATGAAATACGACCACGTGAACAAGTGACTTTAGAAAAGGATTTAGTACGGCTGACCACATCCACTCTATAACAAGACTCATTGAAGTTCTGTTTCACAAGAGATTGTACTTGCTCACTTTCATCGATTTGAAAATATTGACACACTTGAGGTAAAAGCAATTATGGAAAGCCCTAGATAGACAGGGCATTACTAGACAGTATATGAAGATTCTTCATGAGATATGCAAAAATTTCATCCAAAATACCACCATTCTCTAACGATATTAACATCGACGGCAGAACAGGAGTTAGGCAAGGTAACACCATCTCGCCAAGATTAGCAACCGCCACCGCCAAGAACGTCATGCGAACAACACGGCAGCGCAAATCGATTGTCGAAAATTGCACCATCTTCGCCATGCTGATGACATTGTTCTTATAACATCAATCATAAACTATGCGGAACGAGTGCTAGCCGACTTTGATAATATTTGTGGAAAGATTGGTCTTTGATTGACAAAGTGGTTTCATAGGCCACAATCACGTTCGACAGACCTAATATCTCCGAATGTTTCAGGTATTTTTTACTTTGGTAATCCACCACAATTAACGACTTAACTCGAGAGTTGAGCGGGAGTAAGCGAGAAGCTTGGTGAGTTTTTAAGATTACTGAGAATGTAGGGAAGAGTAGTGAGAACACTCAACTCCGTGCTCACCTTCTAACCTTCGATTTTTACTGAACTAATGTACGCGTTGGAAGCCTGCTCGCTACGTAAGCGGGATTAAAGATCACACACTTCTATCTGAAACGGTGTCAAAACGGAGACGTTGGTAGTACTTCGTCCCACGAAAGTGAGAGAAACAATCCGAAATTCCGGGCTCCGTCAGCGTGTGTTAGTTGACCAGTGGATTAGGGAGTTGGTCGGTTTGGCCTTTCGACCGCCAACTGTAAGTGGAATGCTCGACTTTGTATGAATTTGCCACGCGGAACTTTTCTCCGTAACTGTCTTGAACAACCTCGAGTTTGGACATAACAGTTTATAGCAACAACGACGATACAATAATAGTGTGTGATATTTGACGATATGTAAGCTGGGTGGATACGAACGAGATTGAAATGGGAACAAGTACACTTGAAGGAAACTAGGCGGACCTTGGAGTTGGAGCACTGGCAGCTTGGAAGGCAGACACTCGTCTCTAAGACTGATGGAGCTCCTCCTATTTTGTCTATAATGGGTGGGGTTTTACAGAGTGAGTTAGAGATAGTGCTGATTCAAGGCATGACAAGGTACATGCGGAGAAGTACATCAGATAAGACGGTATGCCAGGGGCTTGGTCAACATAGCACTTGATCAGTTAGCGAGGGAATAGCTCGTATAGAAAGGTTATATAAAAACAACGCAAAGGCTTATCAAAAGGTCATGTGAAAGGGATGAAATAGCTTGTACAAAGGCTTCTACCGGAGATACATGTGGAAACGGTCTAAGGACTTAAACATTACGAATGGATAGATTTAAGATAGTTATAACCAAATAGTTAGTACAGGAAACATGTGATATTATAGAAAATAGGAACTATTTAAGAAATAGTTACTATACAGCGATCAATGATCACAAATGCTACTATGTAGGCCTAACTGTCGAAGATCAGGTGGACCGAATTAATTATGGGTCTTAGCGACGACCAGTGGACAAGATCTGTTTACCACGGGATGCCGCAGGATCTAAAGCGCACATCATAAAGTGTGATACATTTCTTCGCCAGTAAAACGAATAAAAATGGATCATGCTTTTGGCGTTGATCAATCCCTGAGGGAAGCTCCGTTCATTTGATTTCATCGAGCATCATTAGAGGTGGCTGAATGCATATCTGCGTACGTAGTGAATCGCGTTCGTTTACCGATGCATCGAGTCAATGCTGCTATCCTATGGTATCAGACAGTTCTGATACCAAACTGCCGACATCGGGATGAAAAGCACACTCAGCTCAGCATCGGGTGTGGGATCGAACAAATATGTATTGCAAGACGCCTCTGACCACTGTACTACACGAGCCCTTCACCAGTGAATTAGAAAAAATATGAAGATTGGCGAATGAATGCACAGAGCGAAGAGAATTCAGTGGATTACTCTCGCACTCAACAGAATGCTGATGTCACTCGTCCATGAATGGTAAGGCATATGATAGGTGAAAGCCGTTAGAAGTAATGGACGAGAAGAACGGTCGACTCGGGAGACTTTCACTGGAGTAGCTTACATGAACATTATCAAACAAATAAATTCACAGTTGAGGGAGAGCTACGCGTTGTAGAGTCAAACTAGTAAACGTCTAAGTAAAAAAAAAACTGGCTGCTGATGCTGGCGATGATTGTCATGAACGAAGACCTTGTAGAAGGTATTTTGCCCGGGGCAACACTTGAATACAAGCTATTAAATGCTTATTGGATCCTTAAGTCGTTCCCGAATGGATCAATCAATTGAGCCAATAGCGATCATTCCGAATAAATTACTAGATCTACAATATTTCTCAAATTCATAAGCTTGCACGAAGTTGTTATAAAACATAGTTCGACTAAGTTTTCGGAATCTTCACCTTTCCGTAGCAGCGACGATTCGACTCGATCGCCCATAGCAGCTCGTTCGCTGAATATGAGCTTTCGTTTTGCGCAGAGTCGAACATTGCGGAGTGGGCACCGCTTGAGTGAAACAGACTCAACTGCCCTTTGATACAGTACAGCATCCATTACCGCCATTGAGGTTGCAATGCATTCTTCAGGAGTCGGTGTTGTATTGCACACCACCTGGATCACCTGTAGTCCCGTTAGTAGTCGAGTGACTCGAGCGGGCGCCAGTAAATCTTCCATTTTTCCCTGTCGCGTGCAAAAGTAGCCCAGTGGGTTCTGCTCGCTCTAGGGACTCGTTGAGCATCATATTTTTCTTCAAGGCTCTTTGTGAAAAACTCTGAGCATCAGGTCGGTGGTCTTCTTGCAGTACGTTTGACCTACCGAGAAATCCAGTCACTAACGGCTCTTGTCCAACGGCTTTCATTCATACGCATTACGTGTCTGGCCCACCTCATACTTGACTGCTTGGGGTACAGAACAGCATCTTTGATTTTTGATCGCTGACGCAGATCGGAGCTTCGGATCCCAGCCCCTACTTATGTGAAACGGGATACTCTTAGCATCGTCCTTTTGACTGCGCGTTCAATAACGCTGAGTGATCTTCCATCCAAACTACGCAGCGACCAGGTTTCTGACGCATACGTTAGGGCAGGAAGTACCGTTGAGTCGAAAAGGTGGTTACGGAGTCGGATGTTCTTTGTTCTCTTCACTACATCCTCGATGCTCTTGGAAAGTCCCCAAGCCGCTTGTTTTCTTCTGCTCAGCTCTGGAGCTAGGTCGTTCATCATAATGATTTCTCGACCTAGATAGATATAACTGGAGCATTCGGAGATATTCGTTCCGTTGAGCGTGAATGAGGCATGCGAAACCAATCCGCTCTTCATGAGCATCGTTTTTGTGAGATTTAGTCGAAGACTAATCTTTCCACAAGCTTCATCAAAGTCGTCAAGCATTCATTCCACTCGGCTAATGTTTGGTGTTGTAAGGACGATGTCATCAGCAAAGCGAAGATGATGTAACTGCTGGCCATCGATTTTCACTCCCATATTAACCTATTCCAATGTTCGCATGACGTTGTGGAGGCCGGCGATAAACAATTTTGGCGAGATGGTATCGACTTGCCTAACTCCTGTTATGACGCCAATGTTAATATCGTTATAGAATGGTGATAACTTGGATGTAAAATTTCTGCACAGCTCACGAAGAAACTTTATGCACTGAGCAGGGACTCCTTAACTATCAAGGGCTTCCAAGAGTGATTCTATCTCAGCTGAATCAAAGGCCTTCTGTAGTTCGATGAAAGTGAGACAGAGCGGTCTTTTGTACTCTCGCGGTAGTTCACTGAGCCCTATTATCGTGTGGATATGGACCATCGTACTAAACGAAAGTGAAGAGCTTGTAGACGACAAACAGCAAGCAGATTGGGCGATAGTTACAGATAACATGGAGGTCACCCTTCTTAAATATTAGCACGGTCTTGCTAGTCTTCCATTGGGTAGGGACCTTGTATTCAAACAGGTAACATGTTAAGGATAAGGCCGGATATGCATTCAGTCACTTCCAAAGCTTAATGAAGTCGAATGCTTAGTGCATCCCTCAAAGACTGATCAACGTCGAGAGCTTTATCCTTTTTTTATCCCATCGAAGATGTGCAAGATATGTGGGGCCACCGGTAGAGCCGAGCCTTCACCGCAGATTTGTGACCATCCCATGCAAGCGCCTTTTAGCACCACAATAGCGCCTATAAAGTTAAGACAAGGCTGAGAGAAAGGCAAAGGGAGGGTCTCAGTTGCTGCAATGGGTAGAATGTGAGTAAGGTTAGTCGTTAGTCGGAAGTTTACCTGATTATCCGAGTTTTGCTGACACCTAAACATCCTTGTGGTTGCATTTCACATAGTCCCCTATCATGAAAAAAAGAGAAACAGGCAGTAAATAAAAAGTTAAGATATTTTATCCTCATATAAGCTTATCAATAAAAGACACTGAAACTCGGTATTGACATTATTTGCAAAGAGCTATTTTATGAAAAAACACAATGCATATTTGAACCCACCACTACGAAATACACATCAAATCGCTTGAAAACGGATAAATAAATAAAGCATAGAGCTCTCGGCATTCATCAGGTCCTATGGGATGTGCCATGCATTCGACTCCATTAAACATCGTTGGAGATGATTGAATGCATATCTGGCCTTTACAACGATTAGCAGTGGCCTAGCGAAGTATCGAGCCAGTGCTGTCAACCTCCCAGACATGTCTGGTACCAATTTGCTGACCCCGGAGGGATGGATGGCTTGGTCGGCCATGGATGCGGAGATCGATTCCACGTGTATGCTGCAGGGCGCCTTCGACCACTGCTCTACACGCGCCTTTTCAAAACATACAGATGTTTTTATTGACTAGCCATATGAAACAACTTTCATTCTGCAAAAACTTAATGAGGCAACTAATCAATCGTAGACACACGCCATATCACTCAGGGGTGGTATAAATAGTTGAAATTTGAAATTTGCTTTAGAACTATGTGGAAGCGCGAACACGGCAATCGAAATTTCACCTAAAACCGCATCCTGCTGTTAATGAACACTCGCGATTCGCCTTGAGGTGATTTTGACCATAGGTGGTGGATAGGAGCGCCGGTATGCATTGATATAAACTCATTTCTTCTGCAGTTGGCTATTTTACTTAGCAGAGGTTTCTCGCTATTGCCTTTACATTCAATCGACAGTTTGTCAAACGGCTAGCATCAAAAAAGACACCATTTGCACTTAATAATATAAAACTATTTTTCAGACCAAACAGAGATAATGGTGAGAAGGGTGCAACGATTGTGAGGAAATGATAGCGGAGGCAGACATTGCTATGATGCCTTTGCGTGCCATGATGTACCGTTTACTATTGCGGCGATTATCTGCTTTCTTTGCACCGACACAGTAACACGTATATTGTTGCTATAAAGAGTATATTTTAATACAACTTATACGTAGCGAGATGGGTTGATCACTGAACACGATTTTCTTTCACTTCACAGCCTGTGTGACAAGATGCTATGCGTTTATTAGATGCGGTAATCACACAAAATTAGGTGCCGAACTGCATATACTAAGAATGAAGGGCTTTAGTTAAATGGTAAGTTGTCTCCTAAATATTAGCAAAATAAAGCTATTCAAGGCCCATCTGCTTTCGGATTCCTTAGATTCATATTGTATGGAGGAAAAGATAAAAGAGGTAGAGAAATTGGAACATTTTCTTTCGTCCTCTTGTAAAGTGTAGTCCAGGGAGTAGTGACCGATATGACTTAGCGCCTATTCATCAGTATGATTAAGATCTCACGAATGCTTTGTTTTTGCAGCAGTTCTATGACACCGTATCAAATGCCTCGCTGATTCCACCAGTAATGTTGGAATTACGTCATACACTTTTATGCGACATGTATATGAGGTAGATAAGTATAAAAAAATCTCTTTCTTCATTCACATAATTAAACAGATATTCGATTTATTCTCGTTGTTGTAGGAGTTCGAACTGCTACTGGATTTCGTGCTCTTTCTTTCCTCCTTTGATCTGTCCGATTTCCGTGGTGACAAAATCTCATGAGCAAGCCTAAGGTGGGTACAATACGATAAATCGATGAAAGTGATTAGGAACAAATGTGAAAGTATGTTTTTTCAGATTCTCACTCTCTTTTGCAGCATTTAGTAAGACTGTTCTAACAGGTGCCCAAATTGCGGAGGAAGAGGACCTACTTCAGTTGCTTGATAAATGTTCGCGTTCTTCTTTTCCGATGTACACGAATGGTGCTCACTATCGTCTCGAGGAACGTTTTTGCGTCAGCGAATTGTGATGACGACAAAATTATGAACTCACAATCAGGACCAAGTTCAGTTGCCCATTTCTGGCCCTATATACGTAGGGAAGTACTTCATTTACTGTAAAACTAAGTAATTCATCATGTTACTATTTTCAAAGAAGCCGAGTAGGCGATATAATAAGTGAGGACCTGTTCGATGGCCAATTCACCTTCTTCATTCGCTTTTCGAATTTTATCCATAGAACTACGGCATTGGATTCTTCCATTTTTTTCTGTGTCTGACTCGTAACCTATAAAGTTTACTTATCGAGCCAAAATTTCTTCAAGAACACCAGTTTAACTAAAATCAGTTTTGTTTTAGCTAAGTATTAGGCGCATTCCAATGGAACAACACAGCTGTTGAATGAAGCTCTCGTTTGACAGACGGTTAATTGAATCATGAAAAGAATACGAGATAATCTAAAATCAAAAAAAGGGTAAGATACCAAGACCACTACTAATCATCACCTTCGGAAATCGAGCTAATTCCTGTTGAGCCCCAATCTTCTTCATCTTCCATTATCTCATCTGAGTCACATACAAGACGCAAAGGCATCTGGAAATCGAGATCTCGATCAGCTGATATTAATGCATTATCTAATTTTGAAAAATGAATACTGTTACGCATTGATATATCACTGAAGGAATTATACTGTTTAGAAAACAGGAAACATTGTTTACAAACTTTTCCTTGGTCTTTGAAAAGAGGTACGCTTGAGATCCAAGTACTAATGTGCAAACAAACCCACTGTCAGTAAGTGAAAAGATGGAAACGAGTTAAACTGCAACGATAACATAAGCTGATTCGCTTTTGGAACGATATCTTCGGTAATCAACAAAGTTCTTGCGCACACATTTACAGTCTAGTGAGCATTCCCTAAAGGACAGATCGAAATCGTAACCACAAGAATTTAACCCATTTCACGCAACACGTCACTTAATCAATAAAACCAATTTTCCTACGGAAAAAATTGGAATCAGGTCACGCCTATCATGAATTCGACGTCTATTTAATCTTCACAAACGAGTTTTTTTTCGCCCATACAGGCTTAAGGATTACACTGTTTACTGGCATCACCGCTAGTAATACTGAAATGGAAAGATTGAAGATGAGCACGATATCTGAAGAAATGTTGAAAGTGAATATGTTAGAAACAATATCTGATGGCTCATGGGCAATCCTGAAAATTCGGAAAAAAAGTTTAATTTATTGAAGTGAGATTGATCAATTGTTCTGGTCTATATTCTTCATTCTAACACTTTGAATCAAGAATGCGATAGCAACCTAAGGAACTTTTATAAACTCTTTGACATCAAACGCAGTCCTCAGTGATATTGCACAATATGAGACTGATAAAACTATAGGGATGCCCACATTTCCTTTCATTGTCAAATCGTCCTTCACCGTCTGCAAATTATGGAGTGATGATAGTGAAAGCGCTGAGTAAAACAGAAGCGCAAGGTCAGCCCTCTTGATCGCCATTTCCCGTCCACCAGTGCGTGCCTGAATCAAAATAAACTGAGAATTGTGGAATTTCGGCGTTATTTTAAACATAGTTTAAAGTCATTCTCCAGGAAATTTTTAGCAACGATCGATATTTGAGGACACCGAATATTGCCAGGCCGCGGCGTTTGTTATTTCCGTCGTTTTCAATGACATGAAGCCGAAATATTGTTTGCACAAACTTGGAAAGCGAAAAAACTTACCAATCCTGGATCGACAAATTCCAACAGTTCTTCTTTTCCATTATAATCAATAGTGAGATAATATACATCCTGGTAATGAACATGGCGTTCGTATTTCATGGCAGCTTGACACAATTTTTCGAACTGAAGGAAACTAGTTAAGTGTTTTCAAAATTGGGCTAAATCGATCAAGGTCCCTATTTAACTTCTCGGTATTATTCCATATATTAGCAAAAAAAGTACGATATGTAAATTACATCGCATTGAATATGTCACTTAGTAAACAAATTCCACTAACTCATCGAAGTAGATTTTGCAGCTGTTCTAAGTGCCAAATAATAACAAAAGGATCATATAAATATAATTTCTCAGAAGAATAAAAAATACGTTGACCAAAAATCTGTAAATCGAAGAATGATTACCACTGAAGGATATCACAGTAATAGAAGATGACCTCACCAAAATACTTTTCTGAGGTGATCCAAGCATCACAACATTTAGTTGGTTGCAAACGTCGTCTTCGTCCGATTTCATTTCAAAGCCTATCTAGCTTCACTTTAACCTATTACAAAGAGGAAAAATAAGACAATACTAAGACGAGTGAAATGTTCAGCGAGGGCAGTGTAGGGCATAGTAATCACTAAGTAAATAGTGCTTCAAAAATACACCTTTTTTTTTGGCAATCATCTCCTACAAGACGTCTTTGAAAGGCGTAAACGCAGCCTAAAGCGTTTTGCAACGCTCGTCTATCATCGCCTTTAATTTGAACAGCGAAAGAAATCAGGGATTTACGAGAATGATCGCTGAAAGGCATTCGACACCTTCGCCACAGAAATGTAAACAACTTGAACTAAGAGACACGTGAAGCACATTGAACTGAGAGTACACCGAAGTTTCGTGATGATTGAGAATAACTATACAAATATGTGTTCCGTGAAAAAAATTACGCTGGAAATTAAGCAAGCCAAATTGACAGGCTCTGTCAGAAATAATATCATGATTGGAACATGCTTCACCGCAATGGATTTCATGACTAGAACACAAATAAATGAAAAGTAGACATTCAGAAAATATCCACAAGAAGATGCTCAACAAGTAGGCGGTTTCTTGTGTCATTACTTTCCTCCACTGTTTCATTTATAAAACTTAAACACTTTACTGCTCTGGAATATGTTTTCACAACGTTTCTTGATGCTTCGACTGAATGAGATATACTGCGGAATGTTCGTTTGATAGATAGGACTGCGTGTTTTTCACGAGAACGGCGGCGACAACTTAGCAAACATACAATCGGATCATAGAATCCTGTGACATTATGATCGACATCCTATGCCAACGTAAGCGGGGACCGCCCTGTTGTGGTTAGTGACGTGAGATCGCTCTTTGACAGGCAACCCATTTGCGCTTAAATCACCCAGTTATTAGAGACTTTAGTAGACAACTACGATACAAGCTATTGTATTTTTGTACGTTGTTCTACAGTCATCTTATTAATTAGGAGTCTGGAAACGCCACTTTTCGTACGCACTACAGCTGTCCAGACTTGAGAACATGGAGAAAAAACACTATGGATCCTACCAGAAGCCCATTACTTCTAGTGCTTTTTTTTGGAATGCATGAATGCTTCGCAGGAATCACTATTTTTTCTCGTTGTCTTAGGGTTTCATTTCCGTTGGAGAGCATTGCTAACGGAACCTTTTACTTACTGTCGAAGATACTTCTTAAAAAAGGTGTGGTGCACAAAGACCTTCTCATTCAGGTATACTATTCACGTAGGCCCCTCTCCAGTGCTCGATGACGGCTGGTATTGTTTGCCATCATCATTAAATATGTTGCCGAATGTTAAATGTATTTCCGGAAGCACTCCACATCGGTATTGGAGGTGCTGACTGAAGAAGTGCTGTTCTATTAGCAAATCTTCAAGACAACGTTTAGCCACAAAGCAATCCAACGTCTCCACGAGCAGCTCGTGTTACGTAGCGTTAGTACACTTTGGTGTATTTTAATCTTTATCTAATCAGTTTTCAAGGAAATTTCAGCACGAATAAATGTTCACTTAGAGGATGAATTGTGACCAACAATTTTCTACAACAGCAAGAAATTACGTTGGCTCGTTGAACTATCCTGGAATTCCAATCGCTAGTGTTGTGTGAAGCAGCCAAAAATCACTTGCCTGACAAATATAGCGGGCAGCGTTTGTGATGAAACCTTCCACAAATCCTTTATGTTTGTGTCAAGGTGTAAGCTGTGCGATGATACTAAGGTGACAGAATTTCTGAAGTGCTCCAGGATTGAGAATCCAAATGAGATAAAATAAGTTATTCCTGCAATATATGTCGAACAAATTTCCCTATAGTGAAAAGTTAGACATGATCACAACAGGATATAGTTGTTGTCAGGTACATGAATGCTTACATGACGCTTGCCAGCTATGCTAGCTTACACCCTATTTCCCACTCATTTCGCTCTCCTCCTACTATCCTTCAAGTTGGCACTGGGTTCTGTAGCAGTGATGTCCAAGCACATGTCATTTGAATATAAGAACCGTGGAGTTAAAGGCTTACTGAGCAAGAAAAAGTGAGCGCGAAGTTTTGCCTACGGCAGAAAATCAATAACTCGAAGGCGACCGACTTCTTTTTTTTGCATAATTTGTGTCTCATGTTCATATCCATGTTTTCCATTTTCACTGAATGCTTACGTACGCGTAGGATAAGATCGTTATTACCGCAGAAATATCTTCGTTTTCTACCGCATGATAGATTTTTCACAAATTAGCTCTTTGCAAATAATGTCAATACCGAGTTTCAGTGTCTTTTATTGATAAGCTTATATGAGGATAAAATATCTTAACTTTTTATTTACTGCCTGTTCCTCTTTTTTTCATGATAGGGGACTATGTGAAATGCAACCACAAGGATGTTTAGGTGTCAGCAAAACTCGGATAATCAGGTAAACTTCCGACTAACGACTAACCTTACTCACATTCTACCCATTGCAGCAACTGAGACCCTTCTTTTGCCTTTCTCTCAGCCATGTCTTAACTTTATAGGCGCTGTTTAACGTTTTGTTTTTTGCCTTCTATAATTTTCATGGCAGGTTACTAAGCGAAATACAACCACAACGTTGCTGAGATATTTGCAAAACTCTGGACCGCAGGTGTCTATGGTGGGGAACGAACGCGCTATTATCCTTTCCGGGGAGTAACGCGTTCACCACCACACCATGCAGGTCCTTTGTTTCGCACGTCTCTCAGCTATTTCTATCGATCTTTTTGCCACAGCAATCACCCGTCAGCGGGGTTGATCTGGGGAGCACAAATCGGCATAGAACCCAGTTAAGCTATGGCTGTAGTTGAAATCACAATGTTTAACGTTTTGTTTTCTGCCTTCTATAATTTTCATGGCAGGTTACTAAGCGAAATACAACCACAACTTTCAACTACAACTACAGCCATAGCTTAACTAGGTTCTATGCCGATTTGTGCTCCCCAGATCAACCCCGCTGATGGGTGATTGCTGTGGCAAAAAGATCGATAGAAATAGCTGAGAGACGTGCGAAACAAAGGACCCGCATGGTGTGGTGGTGAACGCGTTACTCCCCGGAAAGGATAATAGCGCGTTCGTTCCCCACCATAGACACCTGCGGTCCAGAGTTTTGCAAATATCTCAGCAACGTTGTGGTTTTATAGGCGCTATTGTGGTGCTAAAAGGCGCTTGCATGGGATGGTCACAAATCTGCGGTGAAGGCTCGGCTCTAACGGTGGCCCCATATATCTTGCACATCTTCGATGGGATAAAAAAAGGATAAAGCTCTCGACGTTGATCAGTCTTTGAGGGATGCACTAAGCATTCGACTTCATTAAGCTTTGGAAGTGACTGAATGCATATCCGGCCTTATTTTTGACATGTTACCTGTTTGAATACAAGGTCCCTATCCAGTGGAAGACTAGCAAGACCGTGCTAATATTTAAGAAGGGTGACCTCTATGATATCTGTAACCATCGCCCAATCTGCTTGCTGTTTGTCGTCTACAAGCTTTTCACTTTCGTTTAGTACGATGGTCCATATCCACACGATAATAGGGCTCAGTGAACTGCCGCGAGAGTACAAAAGACCGCTCTGTCTCACTTTCATCGATTTAAAGGCCTTTAACTCATTTGAGATAGACTAAATCATTGAAACCCTTGACAGTTAGGGTCATCAGGGAGTCCCTACTCAGTATATGAGGATCCTTTGTGAGCTGTATAAAAATTTCACAACCAAGATATCACCATTCTACAACGATATTAACATTGACCTCAGAAGAGAGGTTAGGGAAGACGATACCATCTCACCGAAATTATTTACCGCGACCCTCAAGAACGTTATGCGAACATTGGAATGGGATAATATGGGAGCGAAAATCGAATATCGGCAATTACACCATCTTCGCTTTGCTGATGACATCGTTGTTATAACACCAAACATTAGCCAAGCGGAACGAATGCTAGCCGACCTCGATAAAGCCTGTGAAAAGATTGGTCTTCGAATAAATCTTATAAAAACGATGTTTATGAGGAAAGGATTGGTTTCGTATGCCCCATTCACGCGCAACGAAACGAATATCTCCGAATGCTCCAGTTGCTTCTATCTAGGTCGGAAATTCAACATGATGAACGACTGATATCCAGAGTTGAGCAGTAGGAAACCAGAAGCCTGGGGAGCTTTCAAGGGCATCGAGGATGTAGTGAGGAGAACGAAGAACACCCGTCTCCGTGGCCCATCTTTTCGACTCGACGGTACTTCCTGCGTTAACATATGCGTCAGAAACCTGGTCGTTGCGTAAACAGGATAAAAATTCACTCAGCGTTATTGAACGCGCAGTCGAAAGGACGATGCTAGGAGTATCTCGTTTAGCACGAGTTGAGGAATGGATCCAAAGCTCCTACCTGCGCCAACGGTCAAAAATCAAGGATGCCTTTTTGCGCTACAAACAGTCGAAGATAAGTTGGGCCTGACACGTAATACGTATGAATGACAACCGATGGACAAGAGTCGTTAGTGACTGGATTCATCGGAAAACCAAACGCACTGCAGAAAGACCACCAATCCGATGGTCTGAGTACTTCACGAAAAGCCTATAAAAAGGAAACTAATCGAATGCAAGAAATGCTGGGATTCGCATAATAGATGTAATGGCGAGTCATATAGTAGTAATGATATTAATAATAACGGAATAATAATGAGACCTATAAATGTAAGAGTGGCTCAAATCACCTTTTATTACTTGTTTGGCGTGGTATTACATTGTCGTGAAGATCCCAGCACTTCATTCAATAGATTCGTCTTCTCGTATTTGTCGTTACAAGCTTGTTTGTTCGAGCCTTCACGTGTGAAATTATCTGCCAATTGAGGATTTTGGTTAAACTAACGAATTTCTTTCAATGATGGTCTAGTTGATTTCCCTTGGAATACTGGGACTCCGCTAGAGGGTTTCCACTCTCCATCAAACCAAGTTGGACGTCTTTGTGGATATGCGCCAATCCCGGAAAGCTA